AGGGTTTCACAGCTGACTAAACGATTAACGAGAGTTGGGGAAAACCACTGCCACCTAGACTCTGCTTCTCTTTGCCAACCAGCCACTTCTGCCGCCTCCTAATGTCATTCTGCATGGGCTGCTCTGTCCCCTCTCCTCACGAGGCCCCTCCTCCACTGTGGCATTGATTATGTATGGTCAGATCCCTGTGGGATGTGTCCCCTGGGCACCAGGAGAGAAGGGACATGTTGTTTTTGGTCATCCAATTCTGGGAGCAGCACAGTATAATAGGAGTATGTGCTTTGGGACCAAGTGGATCTTGGTCAGGCTCCTTCCAGGCTCTGCTTCTCTTGGGCTGTAACTCTTGATGGCCTACATGGCCTCTCTGAGCCTCAGTTTTCCCATCTATAAAACACTAACAGCAAAATTGTTGTGACGCCTAGAGATGGTGTAGACAGAGTGTCCTGCCTGGGGCCAGCCCAAGTTTTTGTTGAAGGAAGCAAGGAAGGAGGATGGGATGGGCGGGCAGGGCAGACATACAGAGAGGCTGTCTTGAAATCATGCCTTTGGAGGAGCAATTGAAGGAAGGAGAGCTGCTTGTGCTAGAGGGAAGCATGACTGCCAAAGATTCACGTGGGACAGATCCCGTGGGACAGGCTTCGGGGAAAGTATGTAGGGTGTGAGAATCCTCAAGTGGCATGGACTGACTTGGGACAGCAAGCTCCCTAACTCTAGAAGGGGCTGGCAAAAGCCAAAGACCCACCCCTCACGGGCTGCACAGGAGGGACTCCGCTGCTGAAAGTTCCTCAGCCTTTACTCAAAGCCCATTTGGGCCCTATTTGTCTATTACTGCACTATTACTGACTTAATCTTTACCGTAAAATCACCATACATTTTAACATAAATTCTTTCTTTAGCCTTAATCTGAGCAAAATATCCACTAAAAAAAACAAAACAGGTTTGATACAATGACTGTATTTTTTAGTAATAAGCAAGTATATAACTATTAAAATGAAGTATGCTGTTATGTGTCCTACCTAAAATCACCTCCCTCACCACTATGAAAAATGTGCTCTACTTGGTCTGAATCTAGGCTATTCTCAGCGGCCCCTTCTGGGTCTGCCATTCTGTTATCTGGAGGTTGCTTGAATATTAATAATGCTCTTAATTCTTAGGGCCTTTCTGGTCTCCCAGGCATGTTCTCCTCTGTGTATTTGATCTAATCCCTGTGACAACCCTGAGGGCTGGGCAAAGAAGTCAAAGAATGAATGGAGCCTGCAGGGTCCACTGCAGCAGGCACCCCACCTGAGGCCTGCAGACAGTCACCGAGGAGCAGACCGAGCGCAGAGCTCCCAGCACTCCCTCCCAACACGCCTTCATTCCACCCCGACATGCTGCGCAGCCAAACCCAAATCTCCTTAGCAATACAACCCAGACGTAAATCACGATGCTTTATCCATCTAAGTGGCCAGATGCCGGGGTCTGTAGAGGAAAATCCACCCTGAGACCAAGAATGTCACCTCAGTAACCACTGATGACCCACGTTGTCGTTTGGACATCTGGCCATCAGCAGGCCCCACCTAGGAAAGCCACCAAGAACACTAAAGGACAACGATATGGACATTAGAAAGTACACGTTGTTACTTCACGACCCATGAGAGGGACAGCTACAGAGAGCAGCCTTGGATCATGCCGACTGGCCACAGGCCCCAGGGGCTCAGCAGTGGGGGCCAGGCCAGGGAGGGCCAGCAGGCGGAGTCTCTAGGATAAGTGGCACCAGCCTCATCACATGCCACAGGAATGCAATTCAGAAGCCTGCAGATGGGCACCAAGGACTGCAGGCTGGCACCAAGGAGCGCATTGTGGCTGTCACCCCAGCTTCAACAACGCGGCTGGGCTGTCTAATGCTCGAGGCGGCAGCACCTTCCTCTTGGCAGAGCTCGGCAAGACAGAGCCACCAGCTGACTGCACAGACTCCTCACAGGTGAAGAACAGACAATCGCCCACTCCATTTCCACCGTGGACACCCCTCTCTCCCACAACAGCATGCTGGCCACAGGAAACAGTAGTGATGCAACGTGACTTAGACCAGGGGATCTAACCTGACACCCAGGGATCATTTTCAGGGACCTACAAATCCCCTGAACTATATGCCCTACTTTGTACATCCAAGCATCTTTTCTCTGAGCTTCTGATGGGCATATTAAAGAGGCTGGACCCAAGAAGGCAAAAACCACTGCTCTGGATGCCAGACCCTCAGCCTTCTTGGCTGCCTGTCCCATGCAAGCTGTTGCCTCAAGTGGCACTAATATCCCACCCCTGGGTACACAGACCTCACGAGAGTCAAGAGCATCTCTGGCAGATTGAAAGTTTGCTTTATCTGCTATTATCTGGGTTTGTTTCTTGTGCACAGAAGCACCCCCACTGATCCACGACCACCGGGCCCTGAGGCAGCACCCAAGACTGTGAGGGGGGGGTGGCAAGGCCTCAAGGCTCACCCGCAAAATTCCTCTCAAAGTGCGAATTCTCTGCTCACCCTCTAGACAACAAGATACCTGCCAGATGCCCCAGGGCCTAGGGAACTCACCCAGCTCCTTCCTTTTTCCCATACCCAGACAAAGGTAAGTGTACCTTATAGCTAGTCAGATGCCTGCCATGGGCCTGGCAGGTACGCGGCCTCTGGAACTCAACATACATTCTCTGGACACTTGAGAATATTCCAACACCTGCACAAGAAGGTGTTTCCACTTTGTTCACATGAGCATGGTTTGTACAAACGAACAGGGCTCATGAGCAGGTATGTTTTAAATGGCTTGCAGAAAGGCATACTCTGTTTGGGGGCATTTTATTGGTAGAATAATGATTACACCAGATGTGAAATATAAATGGAGGCCCCATTTCCCTGAGAAATCACTGGTCCAGCAGGCTGTTCAACATGCAACTCTGACTGATGTTAGGACCGGTTGCCCCAGGAGCTAGTTTGGTTCATCAGAGCCCAGCAGTCAGCCTGGTTCCATGTGATCACTTGAGCTCAGGAACCAACCCCAGGGATAACAGACGTGTCCCTTTATAAGCAGCTCAAATGAACTGCAAGTGTGAAATACCTGTGGTTAGAGCTAATAAAATTGAAGTGATACCTGTCACAGAAATGTCTTACACGGGTGAAAACATGAAAACACGAGTAGTGGAAAATACAAACTGCCTTATGCAGGAGCAAATCTGGCAACCCTGGAAGAACACTGCCTGCTCACCAGCGTTCAGCAGAAGGCCTTGACCCCCCTTTCCATAAGGAAAGATGGAGGTCTCAGCGGCATGGGGAAGCAGGGACGGTTTCTCCTAGAGCACCTGGCTTACTCCTTACCCATCCCCACACCAAGAGGCTGGCAGATGCTGCAGCCTTGAAAACCCCAGAGCATCAAAGCCCAGTGCTGCCTGATGGGGCAGAGGAAGGACAAACTAAACCATAAACCACAGACAGGGAAGCTAACTGGCTGCTGGGAGTGAGAAGAGACCCAAGGTTGAAAACCATGGCCCAAATGTTTTCAGCCCAGGTCAGCAGCAACATGCAATTTACAGGAAATCAGGATATTTACAAATGCTAGCCAGCTCAAGTTTTCTTCTCTGGAAAGAGAAGCAGGAGAAACTCTTAAAAACTGTCTTGGTGGAAGTTCTTTGTCCACTGCAAAGCGGCTGACACGTGTTAGTTACAAATACCAACAGCTCACCGCCCAGCGCTTCAACCAATGGAATAAACAGTGCAAAAGCATAATCCAGGCAGCACCAGCCCACAGTCTTCAAGCCCAGGGCAGCCAGACCCTCCCAAGAGGGGCCTGAACAGTGGCATGGTCTAAAGCATCGACTCTAGATATGCTCGGGCGAGTTACTGACTCTCCCAGTTTCCCATCTGCACATGGGGCTAATAATAAAACCTTTCTGGAGGAGTCTTGTCAGAAGATGAGCAAGCACATCCACGTAAAGTGCCTAGTCTGTTTGATCCCGTTGGCGGCTGTCACTACAGTGGAGCTTCGGAGATTTTATGTCAGATCTCTTTACTAAGCCTGCTGCAGGGAGGTCATTCTTTTGAGGCCACAGTTCTGAGCCTTGTCAGTCACCCTCTCTGGTCAGGTTGCGGATCTGGGAGGGGCAAGAACCATCTAGCCCAAGGAGGTTCGGTAGCGCAGGGGCCCATGGGAAGCGGAGGGGCAATCCCAGACCCCTGTGACCACAGCCCCGAAAAAGTGGCCCTTGTCCACATCTCCACACTCGGCTTTGTCCCCGGCCGGCACAGACTTCAGTTCTAGCCAGAGTCCAACTGGGTGTCCGTCCAGTCCATGCTCCTGCCAGACATCACCTCTTCTAGGCCTTCCCTGACCTTCCACACTCTGCTCCTAGGGCCCCAGCGCTCCCATCTACCCACCATGCTGGGCTGTCGCTCAGTTTGCGCCCCTACCTTCCCCGCGAGGCACTGACTGGCACTATGCCCCACACGGTCAGGGCCCTGGCCAGGTCCGGTCAATGAATGAGCCGGGCTCTAGATGGGACCAGAGCCCCAAGCCTCAGACGCAGTGAAGGTTTGTTTACGAAGCAGGCTGCTCTTTATTATTCGGATGAATTTGACAACTACTCGGGCAGATCGGCCCTAGTTAACGCCATTTTACAAGGACAGATAACACCCCCTCCCGCCCCTCCCCGCCCCCGCACTCCCGCGACCACTTCCCTGCGGGTCCTCGCCCGCGCAGACAGGCAACCCAAGGGCGGTGACCGTGAACGGGGCTGCCGGGGCGGTGGGCGCGCACTCCCCACTGGGGGCTCGATCGCGGCCGGTTTCCCGCTCGCACACCACCACGCGGGAGCCTGCGGTGGGGGCAAAAGGCCACCCACAGCCAGTTCCAGAGCGCTCTCGGCGCGTGCGGTGCGCGGCCGCGCCCGGGGGCGGCCACACCTCCCGCCCCGGAACAAAGCACCCGCCCGGGCCCGGGGCGGCGCGGCCTGGACCTCCCGCAGGCCGCTCTGCCACTTACCGCGCGGTGGCCCCGGCTCGGCTCTGGTCCTCAGACCGCCTCCTCCATTCTGGCGCCGGGGAGGAGGCAGCGCCGCGGCAGCCCGACTGACGGCTCCCGGCCCGCCGGCCCGCCGGCCCGCTCTGGCCCGTCCCCGCCCCGGCGCCTCCTTAAAGCGACCGCGCAGCTCGCGCGCGCCCCGAGCGCCCGGCGCGCCGCGCATTCCTTATATTGCAACAGCGCCTGCTAAAAATAGCGCGCCGCGGGGGTGCAGGGGTAGTCGGCGGGCGCCGCAACCCCGCCGCCCCGCGTGCACTCGGGCCCTGAGCGCCCGGTGCCCTGGACCCGCAGGGCGCGCGGGTCCCGCGGAGGACCAGGCCCCTTGCCGCCGCCGCCCCCGCGGGCCCGCGCACAGACGCGGGTTCGACCGCTCACGCCGCAGAGTGGCTTGAAGGTGGACGCCGAATGGGAATTCGCACGGGCCTCTTTAAGGGCTTCTTTAAGAGCCTCTGGCCAGGCCTCCTTGGGAGCCTTAGGAGGCCTCCCCAGCCCAGAGCGATCCCCGGCCGCCCCCTTAACCACGTTCCCTTTGAATCCCGGGAGGTTTCTCCCTAGGGCCTGCCGCCCGCGTTGCTTCCCCGGGCCCTCTTGGTGCACCCTTCCTGGGCCCAAGGTTCGTTCAGATACATGCGACGGGGACAAGTGACACCCGAGCTCCATTTCATTGTTTCAGTTCCTCTAATTACTCTCCACAGGCGTCATTTTTTCCTTAGTTTTAAAATTGAGATATAATTCTCATGCCATAAAATTCCACCCTTTAAAGCATACAATTTAGTGGGTTTTAGTATTTTCACAAAGTTGTGCAACCACCACCATTATCTAATTCCAGAACCCCCTTTTAACAACCCCCTAACCACCACCCCAAAAAAACACATTCCGCATTCCCTTTTCCCCAGCCTCTGAAAGCCACTAATCTGTCTCCAAGATTTGCCTATTCAGGACATTTCATATAAATGGAATCATGCGACGTGTGGTCTTTTGTGACCAGCTTCTTTCACTTAGCAGGATGTTGTCAAGGTTTATCTATGTTGCGGTGCCTCATTCCTTTTCGTGCCTTAATAATATTCCACTGTATATATTGATCACATTTTGTTTATACATTCATCAGTTGATGACCAGTTAGGTTGTTTGTACTTTTGGGCTGTTAGGAATAAAGCTGCTATGAACATTTGTGTACAAGTCTTTGTATGAACAGATGCTTTCATTTCTGTTGGGTATATACCTAGGAGCAGAATTGTGGGTCATATGCTATGTTTAACATTTTGAGGACCTACCCCCAAACTGTTTTCCAAAGCAATTGCACTGTTTCACATTCTCACCAACAATGTAGAAGAGTTGCAATATCTCCACATCCTTCCCAACACTTGTCATTGTCTGTCTTTTCAAGTATAGCCATTCTTGTGGTGGTGAAGTGGTATCCTGTAGCTTTTATCAGTGTCATTTTTGAGGTTGTTCCTTTTGTGGGTGGACTTCGGTGATGACTTGGAACCAGTTTTCCACACTCAGGGAACCCATTCCCTTATTATTTTGGCAACCCTCCACCCCAAGTCCTAAAGGGACCTTACTGCCCTGAGTCCTTTATGCCATGCTGGGGCTCCCAATCTCACACAGGTTTTGACTGGCATTCTAGGTATCCATAGCATGCCAGGTACCACTGGTGAGAGCCGTTGTGCCCCTTGTGTCCCCACTCCTACCTGCTGCTCTCAAGGCACTGTGGACCCCAAAAGTACTCTGTTAGGGTCTGGGGGTTGCTGTTGAGGTCTTGGGGCGACATGAGGAGCAAAGAAGGAGTCGGGAGTCATGGAGGGTGCTCAAAAGCAGCTACTTTATTCTGCATAAAGTTATACTTTTTACACTGCTATAGTGCTGATTCATGGTTATATAAGTATTGAAGACACAAATGCATGTGGCCTTCATGGCCAGGTGTCCGGCCTTCAAGGCCCTTATCTAGCTCCTTACTCATGGGTACAACACGCTGTGTTTTCAAGGTTTCTCAAGGCCAGACATATCTGGGGTGAAGCAATGGACAGCTGTCCGTCTAGAACAGTAGGGACCATGGCGGAGGGTGGGGAGGGGAGCTTCCCTACATCCCCATGGCAAGGAAGGAGTGGGTTGGGTGCCAGCAGAGCACCTCACCATGGTAGGGAGTGCAAGCACTGGCTGAGGAGGGGGCTGGAGGGACAGATGCTCATCTTGACCAGCCGTGTCTCTCGTCCTGCAGCCCACCTCTTGCTCCCCACCTCCATTTCCCACAGGCCTTGGGGAGGCAGGCCTGGGTCTGTGTGTCATGTTGTCTGTCAGCCCCTCATGGGCTCCTTTTGTCAGGAGACACCCTCTCCTGGGTCCTGACTGACATAGTGGCCAGACTGCTGCCCTCAGCTAAGCTGAGTCAAAGATTTGCTTAAGCAAGAGTCAAGGATTTGTCTTTATACCACTTTCAAACACAAATCTTTAATAACCTGCCTCCTCCGAAATGAAACTTAAACAGCTCTTAATTGCACACAGATACCTGGGATTCTTGGATGGTGAGGTAAATCCTGCAGGTGCTACTGGGGTCTTACAGCAGGACGCTGCCTCCTCTGCTCTTATAGTCCTGAAATAAAGCATGGCTCAGTTGCTGGCAAATAGGGACTTTAGAGACCGGGGTCAGTAAGCAGAGAAGTGAGGCCTGGGTTTGATGATTTAGTCATTCAGTAAACACTGCCAGAGTCTCTACGATGTGCCAGGCTCTGTGGCAGAGACCCACCTCCCAGTAAACTCAGAGTGCCTGCTAAGGGGTAAGTGGTGTGGCAGAGAGAGGACCAGGGACTGTGCGAGCCCAGAGGAAGGGCAGCTAACTCAGTGAGGGGGTAGGGTGGGGGCAAGTGTCTAGGGTAGGCTCTCTGTGAGAGGGGATGACTGAGCCAGGGCTTGAAGGACAAATGCAAATCAGGTAGGCCAAGAAGGAAGAAAGAAATGTTTATACGCTGAGATACAACTGAATTGAAGTCTATCCCAAAACTCCAAGCAGATCCACATGGCTGAACAGGTATGTTTGGGGCATGGTAGGTGGCCAGAGTCCTGGCCAAAAACCCAGACAGAGTTCAGGCCCAAGTTTTAGGCTCTAAGGTCCAACACCATCCACAGGGCCATAAGCCAGCTCTTGCGAGAAGAGAACGATCAGAGCCACTGGGCTGATCCAGAGCGGGGCTCCCCTGCTCAGCTACAGGAGCAAATGCACCTCATCCATTACCATGTGTTCTGTGCTTGCCTCTCTGCCCCGAGGCTCGCTGAGTGACATGCCTCAAAACAGATCCAAGCTGGGGCCCGGGGGTCCAGTGGACAAACCTGGGGGCCCCCGGCACTTCAGGGCCAGGAGCCAGCCAGGTCATTGTGGCACAACCTTCTTCTAGAACTCCCTGCCCATTGGGGTCCCTGAGGATACAAGTAACTCTGAGCTCCTGAGCACTCATCGTGCACACACATGGGCAGAGTGATGAGTCTGTGTAGGTCTTACCCGCCCCTTTTGAGACATAGGACCTTAAGTCCAGTTCCACCCAGCCAGTAGACTGAAGGTCAAGGTCTTTCTACCTTAGAGCCTACATTCTTTCCCCTAGGTCTGGTGGCCTCAATGGGCAGGTCACTCATGTATCTGGTGTTGGGAAAACAAGAAGCTGAAGAGGACACTAGCATTCATCTCCGTCAGTCTCTTCAGGCCTGTGGCTGGAATTAGATCTTTGCTGACCCTGAAGCACCAACATACCTTAGCAGAAGAGCCTCACTCAACCTCCATGCCTGTTCACCCCTCAGCAGACCTTCTGTGCCAAGTCCAAGGCCTTTCTTCCCTTGGGCTGCCCATGATATGACGCTAAGAACTACATAGTCTTTTCTCAGGGTTTTCACAGCCTGTACCAATCCAGGTGCAGCCATCCTTACCTTTAGCTCTCCCCATGACCCTCTCCGCACACCCCCACCCCTGGCCCCACTGTGCTAGGCATCAGCAGGTTTTCTTCTCTGATGGGTATGGCTCCTGTGCTGTGGCACATCCTTTACATGGGCTCCTCTTGCTCTCTAGGGCCAGAAGAGCAGCTTTCAATAACCCACTTCCTACTCATGGCCAAACTTTTCCAAAAAGGTTTCCATAGCCAACTAATATGTTTGTTTTTGGTCATGTGCTTTTCTCCCCATCAGCTCTGCCTCTGTTCAAGCTCAAGTCCATTGACTTTTAAACATTTTGGGCGGCAACCCATTGGGAAAATAGCTTTTACATGACATGCCAGAACACACACATACATACACAACTGAAACAGAAGTTCAATGAAACAATATTTACCTTTACCATGTGCAATGCACTCTGATCTTTTCTTTTTTTTCTATTAAGGTATGATTGATGTACACTCTTATGAAGGTTTCCCATGAAAAAACAATGTGGTTACTACATTTACCCACATTATAAGTCCCCCCACCCCATCAGCTCTGCCTCTGTTCAAGCTCAAGTCCATTGACTTTTAAACATTTTGGGCGGCAACCCATTGGGAAAATAGCTTTTACATGACATGCCAGAACACACACATACATACACAACTGAAACAGAAGTTCAATGAAACAATATTTACCTTTACCATGTGCAATGCACTCTGATCTTTTCTTTTTTTTCTATTAAGGTATGATTGATGTACACTCTTATGAAGGTTTCCCATGAAAAAACAATGTGGTTACTACATTTACCCACATTATAAGTCCCCCCACCAAGCCCCAGTGCAGTCACTGTCCATCAGTGTAGTAAGATGCCACAGATTCACTATGTACCTTCTCTGAGCTACACTGTTCTCCCCGTGATCCTGATCTGTTCTATTCTATTCTGGTTCATCAAAAAATGTTAACAGGACCTACTAAATTGATTTCATGCCCCACTAATGGGCTGTGGCCCACAGTTTGAAAAACACTGAACCATATTTTGATACCCTGAGTGTCAAAGGTATCAAAGTGTCAAGAAATCTGCCAGGACAGAAAAGTCAACTCTAAGATTTTGAAACACATGTTAGAGACAAAAATTTGAAAAGAAAAGAGTTTTGAATTTCAGAAACATAGGAGATTACCTCTTCTAGGCAGGATGTAGTAGATGGTGGCAGGCCGGTGTTCCTACTGCAATAAAATGAGGTGAGACGTTCCAGCTGCTCCCTCTCCTCTTC